GAGGGCCAGGATTCTAGTGTTGCCTGTACCAACACGTTGGTACTCTGTCCACGCATGCATGCGGAATGTGCTAAATAGTCAGGAGATCCTGGAAAAATTTTTTTTGAGCCCCAGTTACGAGACGTTTAGAGCTATCGTGGAACCCCCATCAAAGCAAAAAAAACTACGCTACGTTATTGGATTGGTCCATGACGATGGCTTCTGGAGCAGTTTAAGAGCTATTGTGCGCATGTTTGACCCCATTATAGAGGCCCTGCGCGCGCTGGAAGCGGACAGTGGATTTATTTCAGGAGTCTATCAGTGGTTTCAGTGGCTGCGGTATCACATAGCATTCGGTGTGACGTCGCCTGAAGGAGAACAGCCGCAACCAGAGCCAGCAGAAAGCGACTTGGAACAAGAAGGCCTTGACCAGGACGGTGCTGGGATCGGGGTGCTCAGTGACGCGGCTGAAATTCTATCTTCTACTTTCCATACTGAGAATCAACACGAAAGTGGGGCTACATCGAATCCAGATTCCCGTGATGATGGCGAGTATACAAGTATTACGTCAGTTCCACTTGATGAACTCCAAACCTTTTTCCGCGGGAAGATTCAAAAACGGTGGAAATACGTCCACACAAATGCGATGGCCGTTGCTTTCTTGCTAGATCCAGCAACCAACCTCGACGACTTCGTTGGTGATGATGACGAAAATGTTGACGATCAAGTTTGCAATTTGGCAATCAGGTGCGGTCTGATAACCCCTGCTAATGTGGCAAAGCTAACTGCTGAGATTCTCAAGTTTAAATGCATGAAACGGAGGGGCGGTGAAGATTTACGAAGAAAGTATTCTGAAGCATGCCCGCGGGATTACTGGGGAGCAAAGGATTAAAAGAACTACCCCCTTCTGAAGAAGGTAGCTGCGATTGTATTTGCGATACCGACATCTTCGGCAGAAAGCGAGAGAGCTTGGGGCATCTTTGATCATATTCACACCAAGCGCAGAAACAGACTCTCAGTCGAAAAGGTTGAAATGCTGGCATACATTTACATCAACTACGGTACAATTCGAAGTGGTAAAATCGACCTTGCTCGACATCAATCGTGCCCTGAGAGCATTGATAACGATCACGAAACTTAAACTTGAATACAATTCCTTTCACCTCCTTAGTTACGAAAAACTGTACCAGCACCACCTCCCTTCAAAAGACATCGTCTCGAGTCGAGACTCTCGACTTCACACGTAATCACGAACGGTGCTGATTGTTTTGCCAGCGGCAATCCTATCGTTTTCCGCCAGCGTCGATAATGCCAATAAACTAATACTGTAAAGTAGCATAAAGAAAACAACAATTCGTCTTTCGCATTGAGTGTATCTCCTGCTTGGTTTTTGCTTACTCCAGTGCAACTAGCAGTATAATGATACAAGTAGTAAGTAAGCCACGACTTACATGCCTTTATCATCGTTGTGACAGCTTTTGTTCCTACGGCAGCTCTGAATGGCCTTATAGCTGTTTTGGGCGGTCATCTTGTCTATCCATCAGCTCTGGAAGCCGTTGTTCTCCTTACAGCAGCTCTGGGAGGCGGCCGCCATCCTTTCAGCAGCTCTGGGCGGTCGTAGTCGCCCTTTCACCAACTCCAGTCGGGATCTCCATTCTTCCAGCAGCTCTGGACGGTAGTCGTGGCCCTTCCAGCAGAATCAAGGCTGCCGCCGTCGTTCTTACCGCAGCTGGGGGCGGCCATCAGTGTCCTTCAGCAGCCCCGGAGTCCTTGCGGTAGCTTCAGCGGCCGCTGTGATCCTTATGGCAGCTCTTGGTGGCCGTCGATGCAGCTCTGGGCCTGCTGATGTCCGCTCGGAAGTACAAAAGTGTCTAAAACTCTGCACCTCAAGTTGAGAATATTCTTTCTGTTAGTTTTGCATGCTTTTGAATTTTGAACGGAACATTGGACATTTTCTGGAAGTGTTTTGGATAGTTTAAAAGTAGTCCAAAACCATCCCTACCTTCGACCCCTCGGAGCGCACCGCACGGCTGACCAAGACACGCCGCCTGCCGCTCCCACTCTTGCCGCTTTCCCAAGTCCCGTTGCTGTGATGTAAAATGACCCGGTAGGGCGGGCGGTATGCTGCCGGAGGTGTATTATCACAGAGCGGTGGTACTTGCGGTTTCCCTCGGGCTCTATACTACTCGTAGATATGATAGGTGTGTTGTATATCATTACTTGAGCCGGTATGTGTCATCTAACTTGTTCTTGTAGCTATGCTGTAATATATTGTGAATGTATTAGTGCGCGAAATGAATTCAAGTCTATCGGATGTTTACTATCGGTGCTGTGTAGCTCCCGTCCTTTGTGCGCGAATAATTCTTTTGTTTTTTATTCTACAGACTAACCCCCAAGCTCGCTTCAAAGCGAATAAATTCTGGTAAGGCAGCAGTTGGAGTAGGGTCAACCACGTCACCGCGCTCAACACGGTCATGGAACTGGGCTAGATGCGCGTCGAGCTTCCCGGCCCTTATAAAGCTTACGAAAAGCTTTCAGCGCCGTACCGGATGCATCTGCTGAGGACCCATTTTCTTTCAAGAATGCTAGCGCATTTTCTTGCGCCTTCTCACCCAGGGCCAGCACCTCGCTCTTGAACACTGGAGACGCTGCATCTAGTGCGAATCCAGTCGGTAAGAAAAGCATCATGTACCCTGCGGTGTGTCTAAACTCGTACAGCGTTGCCTTTTTAACAGATCGCGCGGCATATACACAAGGCCCCGCCGTAAAACAAGCGAACCACCTGGCTGCCAGCGACTGTGCTCCCTTCTTTTTCGATCGAGCTGCCTTGACTCCAGGCTGTGGTGGTTGTGGAGGTGTTGTTGCCGAAGATGGGTCGATCGTGGTTGCTGCTTGCGTTGTCGTGCTGGCTGTCGAGCGGATCTGGTCTTCCACTGCTACCAAGCGTTGTTCCAGATGCTTGTTTTGCAGAATGAGCACGTCGATCTGCTTGGTTTGGTGCTGAACCAGTTCCAACAGTGAATAAACACGATCTTCTCTATCAGGTGGTGCCGATTTGGCTCAAGAGGGGGGTATGGAGAGCCACGGCGGCCGGTGATACTCCACGCTAGCAGCTCGGATTCAGTGACGGATCGAGCAGTCATTGCCTCTCGCATCTTCGTGACGTATGGGCTGCGTTCACAGAGGCGCAGCATATCAGGGTAGTGCAAGATAAGTGTGGCAGTCAGGACTTGGGCTTCGTCTTCGTCAAGGTTGAGGGCTTCGTCAGCAAAACCCAGAGTGTTCGAGAATATCAGTGCCTGGCGTTTGAGTGTCCGACAAAGGACCGGTGTGTCAAGTGCTGCAAATGAAGGCAAACGAGCCCCATCCTTAGGTTTTCCACCCGCTCAAGACTCGAGATACCTGCTGACCCGCTTGTGTTGTCCCAAGCATATAGCCAAACGCTTTGCTCACGCGGTCGAGCTGCCAGCCTCCACGTTCGATGATCCAGTTTTCGGCAACGGTCCCGTCATTTGCGTGCATAGCCCCACCGCGGCGAAACGAGTGAGAGGTGAGGCCAGGGGTGAGCCGGACATTATGAAGCTTGGCATTGTCTCTAGCCCTAACCAGCAGCCTGTTAGCGTAGGCTTGGGCTCCAGGCAGTGACGCGGCTGCTGAGCTCGAAGATTCTGGCATAGAAGTGTGGTCGTCCTCTGTCTCTACAAGCTCAACGAGGGACAATTCCTCCAGATCTTGAACGCTCGTGGAGCTTCGCTTCTTTTCAAGAAACTGAGGAAACATTCGTTTGCATGGAGAGTTCTGCATCACCAGCGCTACAGCTATAACGTTGAGAGGACATGTTAGAAAATTGTTGGGATCTTTGAACAAGGACATACCCTGGAGTACTGCTGTTTTAACGCGCTTAAAGCGAAGGAATAAAACACCGCCTACATTATTAACATCTAGTTAGAGCGTATAATTGTTTGTCAGACCAATTAATGCGTACCCGGGAGGATGGACAGTTGCTGTTTCTCGACTTGTTCTGCGTCCGAACTACGACCGTACAAGTACCACATCATAACAACGAGAGCGGAATCAAGATATTCGCTCTCATTTGATGCCGTTGTGTATAGTATTCGCACAATTGCTTCTAAATCTTGTTTTGAGCACGGGGGAGCAACTCGTTCGTTATTACTTTCATCTCGATTTGCGCAGTACCTTCCGAGTCCCGATAAAATCTTTTGTAGCTGGAGCTATACTAACCCGCTCTGTAGCGGGTATTTATCTGCCAACCATTTTTTTACGTTTCCATAATATGCAAGACATGTATTCGTAGCTAAAATTTTGTCCTGAGACCTTGCTAGTGAATATGCATACTTGTCTAACATAATACGAAGCACTTTACCCGTCTTATCAGCGTCGATGAGCTTGTGCGCGGCTGAAAGTGTCATGCCTTCGGCACCCAGAAACGTGATGAAGGAGTTCAACGCTGTCGTTCGCGCCTTCTTGCTGTTACTATTCGGTACTCGATGTAGGTATTCTAGCGGGGATTCATCCGATCTGCGGTGAGCGTGGTAGTATTGTCGTGCCACCGACACTCCCAATCCACAGTACTGGGTCTGGAAACTGCGCAGCAAATCTGGCCACTTGTTCCTGGTGGATCTGCCCAGCTGCCGATACCAGTTCCTGGCTGGCCCCGCTAGCAGATCCGCAAAGGTCAAACACTTCTCAGCATCCGACGCTTGATCTCTCATGAGGGCCAACTTGACTTTGCTGATCCATGTTCTCGCTCGGTCCTCATCTTGATCCTTGCCCGTGAACTCCTTCAGATCCGATATGGCTGAGGTCCGTACACTCTGGATCATGGACGATCCATCTGCCCCGGCTGTGGCTGTTGCTACCACTGCTGACGAAGTGGATGGGCCATCCAGATCATCTGGGTCGAACTCATCATGGGAGTTGTCTCCCTCCACTGACTCCATCTCCACGTCTCGTGCTCCATGTTCGTGGAGCACTTGCACTTGTGGCCCGGGCGCTCTCATACCCTGTTCGGCCAGCTAACGACTCATCGCAGCTTCGAAGTGTCGCTGCAGGGTGCCCGAGGAAGTGTCGGAAGAGCCTGTGGCCGTCTGGTCCACTGGCGAGACCGGATCCGTGAGGCGATTACCTTGAGCTCGATCTGACGATAATCCCACTGGCTTCTTGTCGGATCTGGCTCGATCGTGGCTGGATCACGCGTGGATTCTACTGGATCCCGAGCCTTCGCGCTCACAGGGACTTCCTGTCCTCGGCTCCTCGCCCGCGCTTCCAGCATGGATGCCCCGGAGGGTCCTAAAGTCATGCGTCGTGGCTCGGACGACGTGTCTGACTCATCCTCAGCGGCGGATTCGTAGTTCGAGGATGCAGCTTGGCTGACCCTCGGCGACGACACCGGATCCATAGTGCGTGACCTTTCTCCGGTGATGGACTTAACTCTGGCAAAGAGGTCCCGCGTCGCGGATACTATGAGATCCAGGTCTAGCTCGAAGATATCCTCTGCGTCGAAC